AATGAAAAACAAGTGCATGCTATATTTTTTTCATATAAACGAAAATAATAGTTTTTTAGTGTAAATTAAAGAAAATTATTCTATAGTTTTACGTTAATACAAAAAAAAGACACCAATTCTGCTTCGGTTTAATTGTGCATGTGACAGATGTATGTATACTGTTCTATACATCTGTATTACCGAGAACAATATAGAAATCCATCACAATATTTGATAGAAGTATCTTGAAAACAGCAACAGCGCTTATCTCTTGTATATGTTAGCTCTTTTTTTTACTTGCAAGCTATTATAATTAAAATAATTAAATTTTAGATATCAAGTTGTTTCTAATTTCGATTTCTTACTCTATGCATATCCAGCTAAAGTGATGTCACAGTCAAATATTAGTGGAGAAAGTCTGTTACTTTTGTCTGTTTTTCAGTAAATTTCACATTTTGACTTCAGTAGACTCACAAATTGTACAACAATAAATGTCAAAAATTGAAAATCATTCTCATCTTTCGAGTTTTCTAAGCTAACAGTGAATCTAGATTAATAACTCACTAAATTATCGACTTTTGATTCTTAATATGACCTTTATTAATCTTTTATAATCAAAACGATGCAACTCTTTTTATGTAAATTGTCGATTGCATTCCAGTTCAAAAATACAAAAAATTAGAAATGTACCATTCATTATCAGTCATCTGTTGTTTTTTTATCTCACGAAAATGTTTTCATTTTATCGACAGATTCTGTACTACTAACATCAACCAAAATTTTCGTTCGAATAACAAAAAAACAATCATATAAAAACTAAAATCTTTTGTTATTTTCCTAGTAAACAAGGTATATATTATATTTCATTGATAGATTTTTTTTACTTTAATTAATACACTGATGCAACATCAATGAGTTATCGGGTGTGGATGCGTGTGTTGGTTTGAGTGCGTCTCTTGATCATCAACACCCACACTCTAACTGACAATAGTTGAATAGCAGAGAAAAAGAAGTTTAGTGTTATCATGTGTACAAGAATATTTTTGTTGCAATGAAATTGATTTACATATCTGAGACAGAAATGAAAGAAACGAATAAACACTCACTTTTACATCTTAACGATTACAATGCAGAAATTATTGTTATCTTTGTATGACAAATGAGTCTTTCATAAAATTGTCCTGAAGTCACAATGATATGTCATTAATACAGGTAGATAAATACACACATAAATAGTTTTTCAGTCGACAACATAATAAACAGTTAACTTCAAATCACTCTGCCAAATGAATATTTTCGTGTTCGTATTTCTGTTGGCCATCTCCGTTACCATTTGTGTTGCAAACCCGGTCTTAGGTAATGCTTGCGAAGGCATCTCGCCTGTAACTCGTTGGACAAGAACGGAGCGCGACGACACAATCCGGATGAATATCGACACGAGCCATTGTCATTTTCAAGACACACCCATGTATTTTACGAGCATCACGGGTGGTGTAGGCCATTATCTGCTTACTGGTATCAATGCTATCTATGAACCGAGCAAGTACGGATTTATCATCAATGTTCGATCAATAGATGGTGCATCGGCCGACACACTCATGCAAAGATCAGCCCAATGGACAGTAAACTGGTTCGGTCTCTGTTCCTAAATGACAAATGAATTGTTCTGTTCTCTTACTTGAATAAATATAAACATTGTTTTCATTTCATGATTTGTATTACCTTTCCATCATTTAAATGAATCGGTTTTCATTAGATCGAAAACTTCGTTCTATTCGAGTCGTAACAGTAGAATTGATAAACGTGTTACCACAGTTCGATACACTTGCATAAGTCATGTTTTTCACATGATAGATTCATCGTAAAACGTTTATAGACGATGACAAAATCTATAATAACCACACCTAAGAACAAAAGTGATTGTTTTAAAACGTCTAGGGTGTGGGTGAAGGTGTGTGGCTGTGGATGTGGATGGGGGTGTGGGTGTGGATGTGAGTGTGGGTGTGGATGTGGGTGTGGGTGATAGCCTCCTCTACACCCACACCCACACCCTCATTAGGATGTGAGTGTGAATACAAAATAGTTACCCATACTCTTCAAAGATGAAATTTTAGTTAAGGAAATAGAAATATGCAGATATTTAAGGGAACTTCTATGCTATACATATTGATGTGTAAGATGTCTGTTTGCTTTTCAATTTCAAAAAAAAAACCAAGATGAAAAATCTGACTTAACCTCCTCTAATCATTAATGTGTTGGATGAGTTTATTCAGCAAAGTCCATTGCATCCATCTAATCTGATCCGATATGCTTCTCACGAGTTTCGATATTACTTGGATACAAAAACAATTTTTTTTTAGTGTCAAGCAACTAGATTGTATACGAACAGCTTTAGTCATCATAGTTGCACTTCTTTTATTACCAACAATTTCAATTGCTAAAATTATTGGGAGTTTTCGTTTGAATGATCAATGTTCATCAAGACCATGCCTTGTTTTACATGTAATTGTTCAAGATGGAAATATTCTCCGCATGATAATTGAGTCAATGTTACGGATAAATATTACAAATCACAATACACATATGTGATAATAAAAATATCACATGATTTCGTGTTATAGACCTTTTATTAGCTCACAGTTGCAGCAGCAAAAGCACGTCGATGATCATTAATCGCTTCAGGAGTTCATCGAGCCTATGCACAATCAATTATAATTATCGGTATATTTTGGATTGTCTGATAATGACTAATGAGTTGAAATCGATTATTGATTATTTCTGTTGGAATCATATTCCTGATTATTAGAACTTTTACCAACTAAACAACGGTTTTATTGCGTAGCAGACTAATTCAACCTCATCAGCATATCATCATAAGACACTACTTTATCAATTGTCATATGCTAGTATCCCAGGCGAGCAAAGGACGGGTAAAAAGACTAGTCATTTTTCTAGTCATGACTATGCGTCATGTGTAGTCTTTTTCTCAAAAAGTCCTACTACATGACTAGTCCAAAATGGTTTGGAATCTTTAACCTCGTCTAGGCACCCCGTCCGAAAATAGATTTTAAATTAAAAAAAGCAGAGCGTCTGTGACGTGATATCTATTAGGTTTCAGTCTTATGTAGCGGTCTAGTTCGGACTAGTCTAAATGATAGAAATATGTGCAGAAAGTTAGATTCGTACATGCATACCATGTGTTACTTACTCGTCGTCTACCCGATTGAGCCATATTATCTAGTGATCAACTTTTACATATCAATACACATCTGAAGATACTAATTACTGCAGTTTGACCCAACGTTTTCTCAAGTTTTAATATTTATAAAAACTACTTGTAATAAAATTGAAAATTAGTTAAATAAAGCTAAGCAAAATTAATTCAGAATTTTTTTTAATTTTCTTCAACAGAATTTTTTTTTTGATTATTGACATTTGGAAAAAATTATTTTCTATTGGAAAAAACAATTAAATTTTAAATCAAAATCAAAATAATAATATGTATTTTAAAAAAAGATCTTGCTTTTCATCTCATGGTTTATGTTTATCTTAATTTAAAATATTTCCTATTTAAATTTGAAAATGAACTATGATTCTATCGTTTAAATCCATTTTTAAATTCAAATCATTAGATTTTATATTGAAATAAAATAATATTCTCATATCAAAACATTAAAATTAAGTTTTCGAATAAAATTATTCTTAATTGTTATTACAATGTAAAAATTTAAAAGAACATAAATAGCCAACTCTCGTTAGATACATCGTTCTAGTCCCAATACGAACTAGTCTAAACGAATTGTACGAATGATTAAGTCCAAGCAATAAAAACTGTTTGGAAGGATAGACTAGCCTGAACCAGAATTGGCATTACTTTCTTGAAAACGACTAGTCATGACCAGTATAGATGACTCTTCATACTAGTCGACATTACCAATTGAAACCAGTTCAGACTAGTCAGGTATCCAATATTGTCGGCTGGAATGTTCGGACCCACCTATCGCCTCCGTTTCTTCTGGCTTTTGCCGTCAAGTTCACGCGTCTGGACAGTATGCACATACAAAACGGACTAGTCATGACAAGATTAGAGCATGTTTTAGACTAGTCTATTTTAGATGCAAGACGTTGCTCGTGAAGACGAGTAGTCCTGACTGGCTGCAAATCATTTCAGACTAGTCCAAACGGCTGTGCAGACATTTTAGACTAGTCCAGACGGGTACTACGGACAATTTAGACTAGTCATGTCGGGCGTCACCCCTTATTTTTTGCTCGCCTGGGATTATAATTTATAGATTTTCTTTCTCATTATTGTGTTTTTCCATTGGAATGTTAGTGATTAAAAAATTGAAATTCTCTTGCAACATCGACACGATGGCAACGTTGACAATCGATACATCCGGTAACGGCATTTCTAAAATTATTGTCCTCACGAATATTTTTTGCACGTCTGTATATAGATCCATGATCTATTGATAAACAGTCATGGCTATTTTAATAAAGATTCTCCCGAGAAGTATTTTCGAAAACATTCCAAACAAATAGTTTTAATGTGAAATTTTGCTTATAAATAAACTTGATAGTCTTAAAATGTTCAACGAAAAACAAATATGTCTTCCTTGAAGTTTTCAATATTCAAAAGAACCAACGGTTTACAATAAATGGACGCAGCAATCGAGTCAGCTCGGTAATCCAATACATCGAGAAAGACTTGATCGTTTTCTTTGTTTGTCTCAAGAACAATTTCATGACAACAGTCATAATTGTTTATCATGAGACCATGGTGTCTTTTTATCTAATCTTGGTGAGATCTATCCGTAGTCATAACATGAGGACGAGTAGTCTCCAACAATAGCATATGTTTTCTGGTTAGTTTTTTATTATTGATTCATTAGTTTAAACTGGAAAAACCTTATCAAACCACTAATAACAAAGAATAACATACATATCTGTTTCAAGTTATTCAATTTTTTTATTTTCATTAACAAGAAAAAATAGCGAGACAAACATCAACAAAAACAATATCATTTTTTTGTTCGAATTTCTTTGAAACCATCAACTAATTTTTGTGCCAACAGATTAGAAATATTATGATGATATTGTAAATGACATTTTAATACATTAAGTGGAACTACACGACGTCGACATGGTATACGTGTTCCACGATGTTGGCTATTTCCTGGTAAATTAATTTGCCCATTAGTAAAAGGACATAGGACATTATAAGATTGATCAATTACATTTTCATTTTCATCAAATAATTTTGTCATCCTAGAACCTTGATTATCGATAATAGCTTGTACCAAACGTTGAGCACAAACTTCTTTTAATTTATGTTTCTTGATGAAATGATTATATAATTGGATTCGATGATTTTTTCCATAGTCACAAAATTCAATAGAATGATTTGCTTTAGTAAGACCATATGCTCCATTAAATGTTAATGGACATTCACCAACAATTTTTCTGTATAGTTTTTGTTTACGTTTCTCTTCTTCTTCATTTATATGTTGATCCTAAAACAATATAATAAATGTTTAAATACATGTAGGATTCATTTCAAAAAAAAAAAGAAACTAATTTAGACGTATACAAAGGACAACGAACCGAGTTTATAATATGTATCTTATAAAAAAAATTAATTTCAATAGAAAATTCGTATTCTGGTTAATTATCTTGAAGAGTAAATCTGGAAGATACGAATATTTCATACGTTCGAAAAACAACAAATTGTTCTCTTAGAACTTTATCGATTCAGAAATATACTGTTCTAAAGAACCTGTATTAAATATAATATGCGACAAAAAAATATTCATGATTTCTAATTTCAACAGAAAACTTTTGAATCAAATCTCGTCAAATGTCAAAAAACCTCAGACAAGTCCGAGTAGATACTGTGCAATAGAATATATACATGATTATGCCGAGCACAAAGTGCAGCAAGGAGAAAACAAATACAACTATCTCAATTTGCAAAAATTCTCGTTTTTCTATGATAACACATAGAAGAAAATCTGTTGAATTACATCAGAACTCGATCCGAACTGTTTGGGACTTGATGACGTATTTAGTGATGCTGTTTAGAACTTGTTTATTATTGCTTCTGTTTAACAACATCGATAAGAACAAACAAGACTATACTGCTATATTTAATGAGCAATTATATATGATATGGCAATATTTGATATATTTCAATTCAAAAAGTGACTTTATCGATCCTTCGATCTATATAATTATTTTTACCTCAATAGATTTCGTTGTTCCGCTAAAAGAAAGAAAAATATGCAATCGATTTCGAATCTTTCCTAATAAAAAAAAAGAAACTTACTCAAATACAACAGTATCAATAAGATCATGATTGATATCTGTTGAATGTTCATCATCTTAAACCAATCATGTTTGTTTTTCTTTTTAAAGTTAAAGAAAATTTAACTTACTTTTTGAGATGTCCAATCCTTCTACTACATCTAAACATACAAAAAAAACTTATATTTTGAAGTCTTTTATTATCCTACGAGGAAACTAATTATATGACTCGCTAAGAGAAGAAAAAAAAACGTGAAAGAGATCGTGCTCATGAGCCGATTCAGTGAATTTTCAACTCATCTTTCAGTATTTATTCAAAAATAAATTAATCGAATTTTGCCTATCGATCTATTTAATAATGAACTTGAAATCTGCAGCGAAAAACAAAAGATGCTCATTCATTGAGATATTAAAGGACACCGCCGGATAAGATCGTAAATCTGCCACCCCCCTAGTTTTGACTTC